TCCGAAAGCATCCGGAACCCCTATGAATATAAGTACTCTATACAACCATCACAAAAACTCGAAGCCCGAGACCTCCTTCAAAGGCGTCACGCCCCGAACCTTGAAGCCGGATCAGATACCGTAAACCCCAAAACCGCAAGAGTCTGCAGCCCGCAAACCCGGCTATGGGGGCTTCTAGGGGTTACGAATGAGCCCCGAATTCCCGAACACCACAAATCCGAAACACGAAAATCTTAGACCCTCAAAGCTACACCGAAGGGCAAATATCTGAGAGTTTAGGGCTTAGGGTTTAGGAATCCTACATCCAACACCCTGTGCCTTAATTCTAGTTTCAAACCCTAGAAAGCCCAGAGCCTTAAGCGCTTGACCCAAACTTCAACGCCAAAGAAACTCTTCTACACAAGGCAATCGATCCCTCAAGTCTCCCGTCTCCCACAAGCCCGAACGGCCCAAAGGCTTGAAACAACAAGCACAAGAGGTCCCGACTGGACCGCGCCACCGTGGGCACCGTGTCCAAAGGCTGCGGCAAGGCTTCCTGCGGAACTCAGAGGCGTAAACCACTTTTAAAACCCTCATGAACCGTTTAACATTATACCACTATAAGACACCAATAAAACTATAAAGAAACCCTGGTCGTCAAGCTTCCGGGTTTCGGTTAGCGCGGGTTGGCTGAGTCAGGGTTCACACCCAGGCAAGCCCACGGCTGGCATAATTTGGCTCCTGCGTGGGCGCCGCCTCGACGCCCCGACGGATGAGGAACTGCAAAGTGAGGAACACCTCCCAAGGACACAGGGCTGTTCCGGCCACGGGGGTTCAGGGTCTATCGAGTCTATCGTGGGCTTATTTTGCCAGGTTCGCCGCGACATGTAAGCCCTGATATTTACACTTCGCGTCCACGCAGGCTGAAGGGTTGCGGAGAACTCTCCATTTCTTTTGAACCCAGAAGCAGCACTGCAGCAAGCTTTGAAATCGTTCTCGCACCCCTTATTGTCGCAACCGTTGCAGGAAGCTTTGTGGTACCCTCTGCCAGTCGCCTCCCCTTGGAAGCAGAAGCTCACAGACGAGCCGTCACGGAGGGTCACCTCCTCGGAAGCCGACCTCAGGGCTTTGGGCTCTAGTGTTCAGGGGTTGGGTGTTTCGGGGTTTTTTCTATCAGGTTAGTGGGGTTTTTAGTCTGTTAGTAAACCATAACCGGCACTAATCACGTAGCAGCCCGAACCATGAAGCCCTCGAATGCAGTGCAGGCCACTCGCCGGCAGCCACGGAGCGACCGTCCACCTAGGAAGTTTAGGAGCTGATCAGCCGAGGTCGCAGGACCGACATATAGGGTTTAGGCTTAGTTAAAGCTTCCAGGTTTCGTCTACAAAGGGAATCGAATCTCTATCATTTAACGTTTGGGGCGCCCAGCACAGCAACAAACGAAGGCGTGGTACAACTTTAGAAATATATAAGTAACACCCGAACCGCCCTCCAGGAATAAAGGGCCGCTCATCTGGATCCCACTAAGGTGGATCCCGTTAGTCTTTGCCCTGCAAGAACGGAGGGTCGACTCTGCGCAACCCAAAACCCCAGGCTACGCCGTCTCTTAACTTCATGATTAGAATGGGGTTTTCGGGGCCCAATATACTATAATTATACCAAGGAACCCTAAAATAGTATTGGTAATTATTTAGGCCCCTATAGTACCTTTTGACGACGCAAAACACCAGGCCGCACCAGGCCTCATTTTGACGTAGAGTCTGCTGCGTGGCTCATGTAGAGCAGAAAGTCTAAGCCCCAAGAGCCGAGACCCGAAAGCCCTTAATTATTCCCAAAAATCCAAACGACAAAGCCCTGCATCCTAAGTCGCACCTGGAGTGGATTCGGCGATAGCGGGCGCAGCCGCAATGTGGGCTGCTCCTGGCCAGTGCTTGCTACTTTGATGTAGGGTTCAAGGCTTCAGGCTTTTCGGATGATGGGGCTAAGAGTTGAGGCATCATACCAGCGCCTGGAGAATTTGGCTATGGTTTGAAGGTTGAAGTATGTCAGGAACCGTTTGGAACAGCACAACTTTTTTGATTCTCCCGGCCTCTATGTTCGAAAAACCCATTGATGCACCTCTGAAGCCTCGAGGCCTAGGGAAAATCTTTGACTCCCGATCTGCACGAGCTCGTCAACATTGGGAATCAAGCCACTTCGGCCGGGTTGAGGGCTCCTTTTGCCTCCTACTTCGGGTTTACGGTTTAGGGTTGAGGGTTCAGAAATTAAGGTTTATAGTTTCGGTTGCAGGTTGCAGGCCGAAAGAACAACAGAAGCCCAAACCAAGCGCGTCAACTCAACTGACTGCAAGTTGAGATGTGATCAGTTTGTACTCCTTGCGTGGCTTTCTTTGCATAGCACCTGCTGACCAGCCAAGAAGAGGCAACAACGGCAGTACCAGCATTAGTCGCCCCCTGAACTTGTGTGCGCCTGTCCGGCTTTGGAATGACGTTGGCTTCAACTCAGAATATAATTTTCCGCCTTGAGCAATACGCACCGGGAGCTGGTCAGTGGCGCCCCACATGGAGGCACACGATGACCGTCAATGTTGGCATCGCAGGTGTTGATCATTGCAACAAGTGGCTCAGAGTTGCGGCTTACGCTGCGGTGCTTCGGCAGTGATTGTTCCGGTCGTGGCTGCCCTCAAGCGTACAACAAACCAGCTGGGATTTCTTTTGCTGCGAGTGTGGAACAGCGTCGAATTTCTGAACCCCCGTGCGAAAAATGCCGAGGGCCTAGAAGCCGCATCAAACCTCATACGAACTCGTCTAAGAACCCAAACACCATGCCTTGAAACACCGCGCCTCGCGGCCTTGAACCCTCAACCCAGAAACCTGGTGATGCCCGCCTTGTCAGGTTCCGGTCGGAGCTCGAAATGCGCCCGCCCGATGCTGGAGAAAAGGTGCCTTCGAATTTCTTCGGGATGATATAGGGCTCTTGCCTTTTTCGGTGTGGACGATCCCAGCTTAAAACCCTGAACCCCTCAACGCTGAAACCGAGCAGTTCCAACCCTAACTTCATGCAGCCTGACAGCAGGTGCGCAAAGCTCCACGCGATCAGGTCATCCTCGACCCTACACTTCTGTGTCGACGGGTAAAGGTTGTCTACACCATCGGTTTGGGATCGTTGGTTTAGGGTTCAGGGCCGAGGGTAGTGTGGTTAGAAGTCTACATTTGTTGCAAATCCCAAACAACAAACAGCCGGCCAACGGCAAGGATTATCAAGCTGAATCCCGAGCACGCTACACCCTGAAGCCTGAGACTCGTAACTGCAGATAATCCTGAATGCAGCTAACCCTCAACCGTACGTGCTCATGAACGTTGCGAAGTGCACATATGGCAAGTATTGCTAAAGATGGTTTCGTGAACTTGGAGAACGGATATGCGAGATGCATGGTTGAAACATCTGTGCAGTAGCTTCTCTCCTCCTCAAGTTAGCCAGCTGAAAGCAAGCCTGCAAGGCCTGCAAGTTCTTGTCTGCTGCACAGCTACACTGCAGTAGATTCGACCGGTGCAAGATCATAAGCTATATGAGGCATGTATTGCTTCCTACATAACATCGAAACGCGCAAAATGCAGCGCCTGGCTCAGCACAACCCGCTTCCATGTTCTATCTGGTTGCTGACGAAAAGTGGCTATGACTATGAATTCCATCGACACCTCTGCCCGAAGGAACGGGAGTCCCAAGAGGAATCTGAAACCTAAGCGCCCCTCAAAACCAGCCATGAACTTTTAATGGTGCAAACCCGAGCCTTGAAGCCTGAACTCCAAGGCCCATACAGTTGAGCTCCACACCCCCGACCCACAAGCGATGTAGACCCGGACTGCTAGTGTCTTCATCAGAAAGACTGATAGCAGGCATCCCTTGTGTAAGACAGCCCCACTAAGAAGGCACCTTGAGATACCCAAAACACAAATGGGCAGTTTTCAAAATTATGGTCCATTTTGGGGCACCCAAAATATTAGGTGCCGCATTATAATAAGGACCCAAAAAGGGACCATAATTTTGACAACCACCCACATAAGAGGCACCTTGAGATACCCAAAACACAAATGGGTAGTTGTCAAAATTATGGTCCATTTTGGGGTACCCTAAATATTAGGTGCCGTATTAAAATAAGGACCCAAAAAGGGACCATAATTTTGACAACCACCCAAATCCAGCCTGTCAGGCACCAGGCGAGACAGCAGCTCCAGCTGATGCTGTCGACCCACCATCCAGGGCGGCTGTTCCTTATCCCGGGCTTTTGTGGTGCAGGTCTTGGGCTCCGGGCGTTGGGGCTTATAGCGCGGGATTTGGGACGCAGAGTGTAGAGTTCAGGTTCAAAGTTCCGGGTGTCGGGGTTTCGGGTGGAGGGTTCATGGGCCTTGATCATTCAGAATAGGGCCTGGGGTAAATCATAGCTACTACAAACTATAGTAAGTAAACCGAAGGAATAAACTTTGCAATTATTCAGGCTTCTACATTACCTCTCTTCAGCCCGGCAACCCTAAACTCTTCCAATACGCCCTGAGCTTCAGCTACGTGAGTAAAGTCTCCTCTGTCGCCCTGCAGCCAAGGAAGGAAAAGCTGAAGTCCTCTCCGAGGGCTCCAGCAACCGAGCTTACTTGTGTAGGGCTTAGGTTGAAGCCTGCTTGCAACGATTTAAATCCGTTGTAACCAGACTCCTGCTGTAGACTGTAGGATCTGGGGGGCTGACAGCATATTTCAAGCGGCTCAAAACCCGAAAGACAAAAACCCAAAGGACGACGAACAAACCCACACAAACTGTCGGAACCCCTCTCAACTCAAACAACCGATAAGAGACCTAAGTCCTAGGCCCAACATCCCCTGAACTGAACCCTGAACAACAAAAACAAAACGCCAAACCCCCTAAGGCCCTCTGCGACCCTGAATGAACACAAGTCTAAGAAGGCCCTTGTCCAATGTAACTAGAAGAGGGCTCGTAGAACCCTCACTGCCCATGTTTGCGTCAACGTGGCCGGCTCGAACGGCCAGCGTTTCAGCTCATGGGGCAGCCTCTCCAGGTCCTGAAAGGAAGGGTTTAGAGGTTTAGGGCGTGTAGGCTGTAGGATTACATATTTCCAAAGACCAAGCAAAGTTGGCTCCAGGTGGAGCCTTTCGAGTGAGTTTAGGATTCCGGCTCACAGGCAGGATGTTTAAAAGTACTTTTTGCCAGGCTCTCCAATTTGCAAGTGTGGGGCTTTAGGGAATTTTGTGGGCCAACCTGTCAAGTAGTCTGTACCGCGCTTAGGCCCGTAACTCCTAGGGTTCATAGAGACTCTGCGGTTTGGGTGTTCAGGCTCAAGGTATTCAGCCTATGCTGTCAGGCTTCAGGGTCACTGGGTCTGGGGTGTCTCAGTAGCTGGAAAGAACCGGGCAGAAGGAGCTTCAGGAAAATTCCGTTGACAAAGTCTGGGACATTCGGTGTGCTAGCAACACGACGGGGACCATCATGCCGCGGGCGCAAGGGCTAGGGCTTCTCCAGGTTGAGGGTTTAGGGTGGTTCGAAGGGCAAGAGTTGAAAACACGAACACTTGCGAACAGTTGCAAGATGGGGTTGTCGTTGGCGGCTCCGAAGCATGCTATTGGGGGCTACTCGGTCAGCTCCACGCAAAGAGGTTAAGCCAGGTGTTCAGGGCTGTATTTGTTGCCCTCAGCCTCACGTCGGAATGCGGGAATTTGAAGCCCTCTACACCCTGAAACCACAAACTTCACAAGGAAGACCCAAATGAAGCCCACCAGCACACGAAAACGCGAGAACTCCTCACCCTATTGAAATGCGAGCCCTGGCGAAAGGGTAGGAGCCCAAACCAAGAACCTGAACCCTCTACTCCAAGAGCCCTACCCATAGGCCCTAAAGTAGTTCCTTTTGGGGTTCATATATAGAATCCTATAGGGTAAACCCAAAAAGGAACTACTTTAGGGCCTATGGGTATGCCCTTCGTGGCCTGGCTGGAAGAGTAGGTGCACTCGAAGCCGGCATAGAATCCTGGGCTCTTGCGGCGACCCGAAGAAGATCAGCTCCTCAAAGCCCCCACAAAGCCTGCTCAAACAGCCTAAAAATCCGTAAACTCCCCACACAGCCTTCCCAAAGAGCATAAAAAGATTCAGCGGCTCAGGGTTCAGGGTTTATAGGGTTTAGGGTCAAAGAGCATAAAACAACTCAGTGGCTCAGGGTTTAGGGCTTATAGGGTTTAGGCATAAACACTTCAGTGGCTCAGGGTTTAGCGTTTATAGGGGTTGGGGTCAAAGAGCATAAAAAAGCCCAGAATCCGGCGAAGTCGGCTTTGGACTTCTCCGGCATCGTGGCTTGTGAGACGCAGGCCTGGGAACCCCGGCACAAATCCCTTCCGAAGGTTTATAGGGGTTGGGATTCAAAGGATCTAAGTTTGGGATCTTTTGGGGCATTTCATTTCGGATCGAAAGTTCAGTGGCTTAGAGCTTAAAGATTAAGACGTCCCTGATAGAACAGACGTTAGCTGAAGATCTACAAGGATTCAGCGACCCTTGCTTGCTTGGGATCGTCGATATAAGGATCGATAAGTTGGCATCTTCAGAGAGGGCTGCGAGGGTGTACTATGAAGCATCCAAGAAACCTCGCCTTGAAGGCATCCCCCAAACCTTGCGCTTCAAGGCCAGCCTAAGCTTGCGGTGGTTTTTTGTTTGAGGAACCCTAAACCCCAAGCCCTAAACTCTAAGCTTTTCCAGCGTAGGGGCCTGAACCTGCTGAAGGAGCTTCCCCGCAACGGACGCCATGCCTTGGCTCAGCGTTCACCACGGTTTGGGGCTTTGCAAGGGTTAAGGGTTCAGGGCTCACACTCTCACAACTCGGAGCGAGGATCCATGTGCGTTCAGTCGGTGTGAAATACAGGAGAACTCGGGATGCCTGCGACTATGCACTAGACTTCAAGACAAAACCAGTGCAAACTCACACATCAAAAACCTCAGCACCGCCGGCATCCTAACTAGTCCGACATGACTTCTCAAAGGCAAACTACCCCAGGCGATTGAGCATAGGTCATCAGACAAAGGGTGATCAGCCAAGCAGCCCTCTTACAGAGAAGACGGTCGGACCCAGGAGCACTTTAGCCCCACTTACTCTGAAGAAGACATGGAGGATCCTCAGACACAATCAAACAAGACGAATGGTTTAGGGTTTAGGGGCTTTTTGGTGGGTCTGGGAGGTTGGACCTTTTGGGTTGGTGGGGTGGGGGGGGTCTGCAAGCAGTAGTAGTTGCTAGTAGACCGACGTCACCTCAACTACAAAGCCTCCGAATCAAAAAACACCTCCTCTAAACTCTAGCGCCCGAAACTGTGTCAGTGGCCCAGGCGCCGGGTGGAGGCTTCGAACCATCAACTTCAGCCGACACGCACGTCAGAGCAACCTGTGCAGGGGCGGTTTTAACATCTGGTCCCTGCTTGGTTCCTTTAGGGAAACAAGCCGAGGACCTGCAGGAGTACCTCTCTCTCTCTTGCTGTGAAGCAAGCTCTCGCCTCAGCCATGGCGCAAGCGAAAGGCAAAGGCCAAGCCGCACTCCGGTCCAGAGGGGAGCCGAGCACCTTACAAGGCTGCATGGAAGACAAAAACACCCAGGGTAGTTTCGGAGTTTCCGGTTTAGGAGTTTAGGGCTTATGGGGTTTAGGGATTACGGGTTTACGGTTTTGGGTTTCGACTCACACACTCCCGCACAGGCAGGCATGGCTTCATACTGGAGCTTGAACTTCTCGCGCCTTGGGAGGACGTTTCCTTGTCCATCCCCCAACCCTGTGATGGAAATCGCGAGGTCCTAAGTCGTCAGCATCATAGATTCTACACTTTAAAACCTCCTAAGCCCTCAAACACAACATTCTAAACTCTAAACCCAAAAGCCCTAAATGCCAAACCCAACGTCAGCCCCGATCCCTACACCTTCCAGCCCTTTTTCCTAAACCCCAGAAGCTGCCAGAAGCTCCAAGCAAGCAGAGCGAGTAAAGCCCAGCTGCTGCCCGCAGGAGTGAAGCCTCCGACACGCCGGGGGCCCCGGGACCTGGCATTTTGAAGACTTTGTTTCCGAACTTCAGGGCTTGGGGTTTGAGGTTTAGGGCTTAAGGCTCAGGGTTCAGATCTTTGGGCTTTAGGGTGTAAGGTGGAGGGTTTCAGGCTCATCAACTGGCGACCCGAAAGCCAAACCCCGGCAAAAAACCCGGAGCCCGAGACAGGCCATGCGGTTTAGGGTCGCCTGCAGAGTTTTCTGAGATTTCAGGTCCTGAGGCTTGGCAACACCTCTTTGGGGGTATAACAGGGCCTGGAGGTGTTGGGTGTACACTGCAGTGTACACCTGAAACCAAAGCCCCTAGGCCCGAAGAAACCTCGCGCATTTAATCCACACTTTTCCTAAACCTCTGGGAAGAGACCCTCAAACACCTCAACCGTCAGACCCAATCGCCTCCACCGCGACCGATCCGGGAGCGGAGCTTCGGCAGCTGGGCTTCCAGAGCCTCCGCAGCTCTCAGCGTCCAGGTTTGGGCTTCGGGACCGGGGTCTATGGTTTACCCATAGGCCCCATAGTAGTTCCTTTTTGGGGTTCATATTGAGAATCCTAAAAGGTAATCCCAAAAAGGAACTACTATGGGGCCTCTGGGTTTAGGGCGCAGGCTTGGGCTTTGAACATGGGGGTCTTGGGATTTGGTATTGTGGTTGGAAGCAAATTCAAGGCCCGCCGGCCTGCACCAAAACCCTAAACCCTAAACCCTTTTTTGAACGAGGTCTCTCTGAAGCCCCTAAACCCTAAACACCAAAACACCGGTGAAAGCTCCCCGAGCCTCGCCGTTGGCACCGAGCCCGCGGGCCGCCGCTGCGGCAGCTGCGTCAACAGCGGCATCGTCGGGGAGTAGCCTTTTGGAACAGATTTTGAGAGCTTACGGTAGGCTAGCGTTTGGGGTACGAGTACCTGGGTTGTGAGACTTAGGTAGGTTGAAAGCCTTTCGAATTCTGCAGGATTTGTTTGCCTCCCGCATTGCTGAGGATCTCGCTGGCTAGGCAGGGTACAGACAGTACCATGAAACGGAGCTCAAGACCTCCCTAGCCTAAGCATGGCAAAAACCGCTGCTTTTCCTACCTACCCTACACATTCCAGTCTGCCCTCGAAAAGGACTAAGACTTGAAAAACTCACCAAACCCTACATCCCAAACAGTTGCAAACCTTAAACCCTCCATCCTAAAACTTCCGGGCGCGGCACAAGGCCAGCAGCAGGCGTCCAATGTCCCAGAGTTCGGCGACCTTCCATATTCTGCGGCGAGGCAAGTCAGAAGAGCTTGTCAATGTTTTTGTTGCTGGACTCCTTTTCCAACTGCTTCGGGTCTCCCCAACACGAAGGAATCTGCAGGTTCAGACGGGGGCTGTACTCACTCAGCTACTAAGTTGTTGACATTACGAGGGAAGAAACATACAATAACTTCTGGCGCGCGCGCGCGCGCGTCAGAGGGGTTCCGGTTTAAGGGGCTAGTCGCTACAGCCACCAAGGCTAAGGTTGCTACTACAGCTGCCAGAGCTCCTATATTATAGTATTCCCGGCCTGTTGCACCGAAAGGCTAGAGCCTCGCACCTGCGTTGGGGGTGGTGGGATGACAGCGGGAGTAGGGCTTTCGACTGCAAGCGCTTTACGTTTTGGGGCCGTTCGGATTCGTCTTGAGGGCTCGGGATTTCGGTTTTTGGACCCGCAGCCTGAGCTGTAGGCCCCAAGCCTTAAAGCTTCCAAACGCTGGACTCGACATTTCACCTGGAACCAGAACCTGACGGAGCCCTGACACACCACTCGGTCTTTATCCTCAAACCAGTTCGGGGTTTATTCTTTTGCGCTTTTGCATCCAAGGATTTGTTCAGCACCTTTAGGCTTTGGGGTCGAGAGTTTTGCGTTGCGGGCGTAGGGTCCAGTGCCCCAAGGCGCCGCTTTTCGCTCTCCATCCTCCCGCCCATACCACAAGACTTCAAGGTTTCCCACTCGAGTTGCTGTTTGCCCAACTCAAAGCATCCAACAGGCACGGCGCGGTTTGGACACCAGCTCAATGCTTAGGAGAAAATGTGGCAAGTTTGTACGGTTTTTCGGTGTTCCGGTGTCGGCAGCGATTTTTGCGGCACCGCGCGAAGCTAGCTCTTCTTCTGCAGGAACCGTGCCTTCACGTTAACATGTCAGGGAACCGGACAAGCAGCACAAATGAGCAATCATGTACAGGATTCAGACGGTGCATCACAAATCTTGCATACTCATGTGGCCAATTTTCAGTGGAAAATGACCCCTCTCCACAAATCCTACACCCTACACTCAGCAGCCTTGCGGTGAGACTCTGTGCACTGTACAGGTACGAAGGCTGCCCATGCATCCAAGGCGTTCGGCTGCGGCTGCTAAAGGCAGCTTAGACCTCAATATTCTGGGTTGCTGTGAAGGAACCTGATTTCAATTACCATAATGGGGATAGACGGTAAGTAGCAGGGTTTCCTTATATGATAGGAACTTAGTCTATTTAAGTTCGTCAACAGCCACCCAGTGCTGGGAGGGTCCAGGGCTTTGGCTGAGGATGTTGGTGGGATCGAGTTAGGCGCAGGTCAGGCGTGAATCCAGGTCCAAGGGCAACCAGGTAAGATCCCCTCTAGAGCAACGCCGAGTTTTCATCTGAAAACTGCCACCCCGAAGACAAGGCACTCGCACATCTAGAACCCCTTGCCCTTACCCTAACTAAACCTCCAGATCCGGCATGCACAACCCAAAATGCCTAAACCCGCCACCCTAAACCCCCGACTGCTCCCAAACCCTGAACCCTTTTCAGGACGGGCTTCGGATGTGTAGTATGCCGGCAAGCTGGACTCTCAAGGTCTTCATGCGACGCCAGCAAAAACTGAAACCGCAATGTAGGGGCCTTAATAATTAGAATAGGGTTTGGGGGTCCTTTATGGTATTAGTACAATAAGGAACCCCCCAAAAATAGTGTAGGTAAGTATCGAAGCCCCTATATTAAACGCCATCAGTTTTGACCCCCAACTCCAACGCTTGAACTGAGCCCTTCCGAGTCCCGGGTGCAGCCAGCAGCTGCTTGGAAAGCTGCTCCTAAGATGGCAGGAACTACCCACCGAGGTTTAGGGTTTAGGGTTTGGGGTTTCGACTCACACACTCGCNNATAAGTGTCCGACATTGCTACGTGGACATGCTGGGCTATATGACAGAGGGACATACTCACAGTCGTCGAAAGCATGAGCGAGGATGACCCCAACACGTAATATAGCGCTAAGATCAGATAGAAGGCAAAACAGCAAGCATGACCAAGTGAATATCGCCCCATCTGTCAATAGCTAAGCAGTCCGTGTGCTGTCCGTGGCATAGCGCCACTCTGTTTCAAAAGCGCTAGCTTCCTACAGCCAACAACTCGACGGCCATTCTGTAGCCAGCTTGCCTGACGGCAATTGCGCCATCCGGGAAGTCAGGGGTGGTCGTAGAGCGTGTCACTGCTATCATATGCAAGATCAGTCAAGGTAGCCTCTCAAAATGATCTCACTCGTGCATTTCAGAACTCCTCGTGGTGCCATGCAGACCCGGATGTTTCGTGGTGTTGTCGTGAGGCCAAATTCAGCAGGGCAGAATTCGTCGTGGTGTCATTCTTTGGTCACGCTCATGCAAACTCGTCATGCAGTACCTGTCATGCACTCACTGTATCGCATTCATGAATTCGAGCCATCTTTGTACACCCGACTCGCAGGTGTACCCATGCAGACTGTCTTTGAGCTCAGCGTACTCGTTGACAGCATTCGCAGAAAGCATTGTATTCAGCAAATTCCACAACGGCATGCAGTCACAGCCTTTGTCATTCGTAAATTCAAGTCACCACGTACCCACCACTTGCAGGCGCGAAATCATGCAGACTGTATGCGAGCCAGAGCCCGGTGCGTTCATCAGCAGCATGCCAAGGAGCTGTGGGGCCAACGTCCCACAGCATTCCAGTCCATGTTGCATCCACTCACCAACGACTCAAAAGCCGCGCGGTCCACATGTCGACACCATGCAGACTGTATGCAAGCCAGAGCCCGGTGTGCGCATCAGCAGCATGCCAAGGAGCTGTGGGGCCAACATTCCACAGCATTCCAGTCCATGTTGCATCCGCTCACCAAAGACTCAGAAGCTGCGCGGTCCACATGTGTTGTCTGAGCAGTGGATTCAGACGGGGTCTGAATTCTTGAATTCCAAGGGATTGTCAGTCATGCAGAAACACGCAGGAGCGTGTGTCCGAATATGTAGTGTGCCACCCAAGTTGCCCATCTCTTCGCACTCGTGCCGCACATCGTTTCGTTGCGCAGCTTTGTTCATGTCGATGCCACTGTCCACTCGCTCATTCCAGCTGACGGGGCTGGATTGAAGCCCCTAACAGTCTGCCATGGCTCAGCACTCGGAATGAGGGGTACGGGAATTAAGAGTAGGGGATAGAGGAGTACCAATAAAGAAAGAACCACAGGACTCCCCATAGCCCCGAGCAAGCAGGCAGGTGCACCCCAGCAAAGAGTTTCGGGCCTTGGCGTGTGGGCGAGGCCCATACCTAATTACACCACATGTCAGCAGCAAAAGGGCATATGTGACCTTAGTGCGGGTCGGTTTCTGGCCCCCAGCACACAGTCTGCATGCTTTACGCGCACCTGTAAAGCCGAGGACTGACGAACGTGCAGTACGCTTTAATCGAACGTGTAGTGTCCCACCTTTTACACTGAATCTCTCCCAAGGCTAGTGACTCTCGGCGACTCTCTCCAAGCTCAGGACTAGATCCTACAGGATTCAAAACTGCAAGCGGGCACCGACACTCCATATGTGAAGACACGGTCCTAACATGTGTGTAGCGAGAGCTCTGTTTCAAAGATCGACAGCTGTGTCACTCAAGTCTGCCTGTCCAAGTTACGGCAACAATCTGTACAATGCACACGGGATGACTCAAAAGTTGATATGGTACATACGGCGATGTCGTACTATGTGCTCGTTGTGCACCGTGTGTCGAATTACGAACGGGCGTCCTCCTTGCGGCCTCAAAAGCACTAAGCATAAAAGCAATCACAGCGTAGCGGGAGGTCACCATCAACAGTTTACCGAGCATACAAATTCATGATTTGATGTAGCAATGCAGTTGACGCAATGCATCTAAATTCAACACGAAAAGCATGGGCATGCACATGCACACAAATTCACAAATTTACGAATACACATGCCAACCAATTCTCAGGCAGGAAGCATGAGAGCCTGCCATGTGCCCATTTGCAACAGAAACATAACAGTGAATAGGGCCATAGCATAGGAGTAATAGAAACATCCTGGGCATGCACAGGCATTCTCACAAATTCATCATGCTCCTAAATTCGTCATGCTGTTGCAGAAACAAATTAAACCATGCATTATGAATACAACCTTGTCATGCACATGCAATCGCCGTGTGTCATCCCATGTAGATTAGGGGGCAGCATGCTGGCGTAAGTGCAAACGCACAAAGTGCCCTAGCAAGGGCCCGAAGAGGCCAACACACAAGAACCGTTCGAAATAGAAAACTCATCATCCCTCAGCGTCTGCCCCCAAACGTGTGTATGTAGGGGTTTGCTGGTGGCCCGATGATATCATCTTCGGGCACTAGAACTTCTCGCCCCGAAGCCAGAATGGCTCGGGCAAACTGACCCCCGCCTGCGACCGGCGCAGGTGGGATGCGGGAGGCCAAGTTGATAACACTCGGCTGACCAACTGCAGGCGACCCCTGTACCGGGTCAACGCGGATCTCAGCTGGCCGCGCATTCGTGCGGCTCACTGTGTCTCTCAGCTCACGAAGAGCATCAACAAGCTCATTGACTTGCCCACGTAACTCCGCGAGGTGGCTTTGCATGTTCTTGGTGATGTCCACGGCTTCTGTGACCCCTGAGGAGTCCTTGGGAGGTCCACCCATTGCAGACCCCATGGTGGTGACCGCCTGTTGCAAGTCGGTAATGGACTTGCTGTTGGTGCGCAGGCACGAGTTGATATCGCGCCCTGTCTGTCCAAGCTCCCCCAGGAGCCTGTTGGTGTCTCCTTGGAGGGACGTCAGTTTTTCCAGCAGCATGTTCTCCACTCTGTCCGAGCCTTGTGCAAGCTTGCCACAGGCTGTCTCAACCTTGCTTACCACTGAATCCAGGGAGTCCATACTCTCCTTGACCCGCTCCAAGAAGCCATCGATGTCAAGGTGAGCCTTGTTGTGCTCGCCCAGAGTCTTGCAGAAGGCGCTGTTGAGGTGGTCGAGCTTGTCGTTGGTCTCCTTGGACATGAGGTCGAACCTACTCTTGATCGTCGACTCAAGCGCCTCAATGCTCGACTTTGTGGCTTTGTCCAGAGTCTGGAAGCGGTTCTGCTCCGTGGTGTTGGACGTGGCGAATGCCTTAGTAAGTGCAGCATTCAGGCCCTCCAACTCTGCAACGAGGGCCTTCGGGATCACTGCAGTGGTGAGCTCGCTCTTGAGTTTAAGAAGCACGGTCTCCACGGCCGCCTGGTGTTCACTGAAGGCCTTCTTCATCTTATCAAGGGGCTGAAGTAGCGCCAACTTGGAGTCCAGCGCCTGTGTCACCGTATCGGATAGTGTATCCACTGCGAGCACAGCGGTGTTTGTGCCGGCACTGTCAGCTGCATGCTGGCTGTTAGCGGCCAGGAGCGCCTCGCTGAGGGCATCGAATCTTCCCTGCAGCATCGGCCCCAGCACGTCCGGAAGCACCTCGCTAAGCGCCGCCACCATCCATTTTTTGAGCTCCTCATCTTGCTGGGGAGGTCCCACTGTGGGCACCGAGGCTGCCCCAGCCGCGGGGCTTGGTGTCGTCATGGACGGATTCTTGGACCAGGATCGAGAGGCTATGAGTCCGTACATGAACATGCACATCACCATGGCCGACACTGCCCCAACCCAGCATAAGAGCCCATCGTACTGCTCTGGCGTCGCAAAGAGCGACAGAAGTGCCTGTGCTCCGGCCTCATTGAACTGCTGTGAGGCTGCCATGTATGTCAAAGGCAAGGCACGACTACCCAACTGCAAGGGGGCTGACAAGAGCATCAACCATTCACTGCGGTGCGCGGCAGACTGTTGACACGTTGCAGCATGCCTTGCCCGTCCCAAACTGAAGACCCCTTCCAAAACAAGGACATCGAAACAACCCAGATCCCCAGCACCCAGACGTTCCAGACAAAAGGGACATTGAACACCTGAGGGGATGTTCGAGGAAACATCATTGACTACAGACATGTCGTGTCATGACATCACATAGTGATATGCCCTCTAACTACAAACATGACGTGTCAAAGCATGTGGAGGGGAAGACCCTATTGACGAACCCACGCGTCCAAAGCACAACCAACGCAAGAGTGGCCCCCAAGCCCTAAGCTATAAAGTCGTGTACCTGACTGACTGAAGGTTGTCGCCCGCGCTCGACACTTCAGCACACTCACGGAGTGACCTTGTAATGTGCCTGGTAGGCGTCCACGATCTTCGATTCAGAGCGGCATATTGCACACCAACTCCAAAACTGGTATATGTAAAGCGGAAAAATGCGCATCTCCCTAATTAAATGCATGCAGACCAAATTCATGCAACTCAGGCAACCCTCATCACCCATTTCACCACCAGTGCGGCAGCAACATGCAAAACAGTGCACATGCATCATGCAGGCAATGCAACCATGCAATAAATTCAACACCAATGCATCGACCACCATCGCACTTCGACTCACCATCGGACGACGACAATCAACACAGTGCACATGCAGTAGACAGAGCATGCAGGAATGCAAAAATTCATCGCCGAAAACTCACATGTATGCATATGCTGTACAGCCTCAAAAGAGAGAGAGATGCGCACACCTGGCAATGCTGTACATCTCATGCGTCCGAAAGCTCAAGAACGTCATCCTCCGATTCACTGTCCGACGAGAGGCAAATAGTAAGCGGGCCAGCAGGGATATTAAGGATACCAGGGGGCCATACCATATTCTTCGAAAGCATTGGGACAGCGAGTGGTCTACTGAAGCCAAAGTCTTTGAGCGCCAATTGTATCCCGCCCTGCCCCCCCCCCCTTGTCCGTTACCCCAAACCGACAGTCTGCCACGTGCTTCAGATGCCTGACTGGGCCAGATGTAGCCCATGCTCTTAAGGAGATGAGCATCCTCCTCGGCCAGAGATGTCCAGCCAGCCGGGACCCAGCCAATGAGCAGCATTCTGTCTTCAGCATGTGGCACATTAGCATGCCATAATTGTCTGGCACTGAGTCGGTACTTACGCCCTTGTAACACACGCCCTGGACGATCAACGCCATCTGGACATGGCATCCAAGTTGTCCCTTGCACATCCTCCACCCAGGTACCTCCCGGCGCCCCCGGTGAGAGGTTGCAAAGAAGCGAAGGCAAGAATGTGTTCTGACTGTCCTTATGAGGCTGCGTCATAACATTCTTCTGAAGTCTCATAGTCAGAAAGCTATCTCCCGGGAACTCTTCGGCTAGGAAGCGCGCCAGAAGTTTGCACGTCCACGGATATCTGGCAGTGTTCGTCCTCAACCCCGCCTTGACCCTGACAAAGGCTCCACATGTAAAGAAGTCCGAGCTGACTTCCTCCAGTATGGCTTCCGCCACCCGCAGCACGTCAGCAGTGTCAAGCTCCGTTTGCTCGAGAGTGCGTTCTGCTTTGTTCTCAACATCCATCGCTGGGTGGGCTATGGTTGTCACAATCCGGGGGGGTGCGCTCGAGCCTATCGTCTACCACACTCGGCTACTGGTCCCGAAGCACTTTCATGGCATCAGCAAGGTCCTGTGCTCCGTTACAGAAGAAGGCAGTACTGTAGTCAAGAGTGCGTGCCAAATACTTGGTATGGTGGTCAACAAGTGTAACCATTCGGTACTGGTGGAGCCATGGCGAATGGTCCTTAAAGGCCGGGGGCATGAAAAGGCAGTCACCGCCTTGGCGGTCAAACAGGTTGAGCGCCTCAGTGACTTCCGCCAACAGGGCTAAAGGCACCTGCCTATGAAAGACTGTTCTTTGAAGTAGACCTGCTTCGAGGAAGACCTTAGTATGAGTTCCCCAATGAGCCAAGATCCCTTGCACTTTGAGTGCGAGACGAAGCACAGTTGCTGACATCGCTTGCATCGTTCCATCATGTGCATGCGTGTGCACCACAAACATGCGTTTGGGATCATTGGCGAGCGAGACGACGACTGCACAGCGTCCGTTCTCCGCTTTCCCCCAAACAAACGAGCAGGGCATTTTCGCCTGCTTGACAATCATAAGAGGCGACGTATAAGGTACCTCAGTGAAGTCCTTAGAGGGACGGAGAAAACAATCCAACATGCCTTTAGAGCCCTTTAGGACAATGACTTGCCGCTCTTGTAGATACTCAAAGGTTGGGGGAGCATCCTCATCTACCCAGTGCCTAACCCACCACGGAGAATGATTGGCCCACTGCGTGCGATCCAAAGCAAAGGTTTCCCATGACGGTATAGCTGTGGCCCATGGCCACGTTTGGTAGATTCTCTGCACTCTGTAGATGAGCAAATCGACCAGCCACGATCGTCTAGGAGGTGGCATGCCTATTGTCCTACCAACTCCACATGTACTCAGAATTCGCATCATCGGCTGTTGGTGAGTCGTTCGGGCAAGGTGACCTAGGTACGACCACTGTCTAACCATCCAAGTCCTGCGCCAGTCTGGTCCTTTGTTTTGTCTACAGATGACCTTGACCGCCCTCCTTCGAGTAACCGTGTTTTCAACCCACGTCATGAGAGGGTCGGTGGGCAGCCGGAACAAAGACAACAGAAACGTGTTCTTAGCCGCCTCCAGTCTACGCAAGGCTTTCTTGTTAGGCATAAGCAGCGGAGATGCCCAGGGTTTGGGGTTTAGGGTTTATAGGGTTTGGGGTTTAGGGTTTGGGGTTGAGGGGTTTAGGGCTTAGGGTTTTTTTTGCCTCCTACTTAGCATAAACCCCGTAAGAACCTGTAATCCCCAAACCCCCCCCCCAAACCGCCCTTAACCCCGTAAGAACCTGTGATCCCCAAACCCACAGAAACCCTGAACCTAGGCCCGACCCCAAACGCTTCGATCCTTCTGCAGACTCTTCAACAAGGTACTCCGGCCCTATTTTTCTTGAAAATCTAAAGTCCCCCTGGTTTGTCCCGCATGAACCCTGGAACCCTGAACCCCCAAAGCCTCTACTCCCAAAACACCGCCAAAGCCTCTACTCCCAAAACACCGAAGCCACAAAGAACCCCCTTAGCCCTAGGGCGGGTGGCCATGGTCTCTCGGGAGATCCCATCTTCGGCCGCCGTCGCCGAGCTTTGCGGCTTCCTCTTGGCCTCCGCCTCCACAAGAGGGTAGTTTAGCGGCCTTATAATGATTAGAATAGGGTTTTGCGGCCCATTATACTGCAAGAGGGTACATCTGAAGGTTCCTTTAAAAGGTTGTTGAAGGCTCCTTCAGACGATTCTTCGAGGGTTTCATACAAGGGTTTACTGACTCCGTGGCAGCTCTATGTTACATGCTAAACATGCCTGAAAACGGACTTGGGAAACTCCAGGGTGGTTGCATGTCTCTCTCTGCGCATTTCAGGGTAGGCTTCGGGTTCGACTCGCGCAGTCGCACTGGGCTGGCACGGATTCATAGGTCTGGGGTAGGCTTAGGGTTTAGCGCCTCAGGGTCAACCGGCTTTAGGCAGGGTTCAGATTCAGATTGATGTAGACCCCTGGCAACAGAACCCCCCCCCCCCCCGAAGTTTGCTTCAGGGATCTTGGCTGGTGCGTAAAACGCTCCTAGGGATATATTGGTGAGGGTGTATCTTGAGGTACTTTCATGGAACACACTAGTCAAAACACCCTACTTCACTTGAAGCTAAGTGCTTCGCACGTATTTGGGCGCTGCGCTCCCTGGCGAAGAAAATTCAACCTTAGAATTCTGGCAAGGTCACATGAATCCGAAGCCGAAGCAGGTGAAAAGCACTTACTTTCAAACACACGATAGGTTGCAAAAACCCCCTGAAGCCCTAAACCCAAGTCATGATGAACACCCTGGTTTCTACACCCTTACAAAGCCTCAGCCTTACAGAAACCTATAACACCCGTATAAAACCTTACAAATCTCCTAGAAAACCCATGTTGAACCCTTCGAAAAAAACAGAAGACCCTTGTAAAGAACAACATGACCCTTCTAAAGCCCGTATAGAGCCAGTATAGTCGCCCCAAGTAAACCTTTCTGAAACCCTTTTTTTGTCGCCGTCAGAATTAGATTACGTCTTTTTGGGGCATGTGATACTATAGATATAACAGGTACCCTCAGGAAACCAGCAATAATGGTATCGGTAATTATCCATAATCCCCTGCTTTAAAACCCTAAACTCCTCTCAGCAATAATGGCATCGGTAATTCTCCATAATCCCCTGCTTTAAAACCCTAAACTCCTCTCAGCAATAATGGCATCGGTAAGTATCCATAATCCCCTACTTTATAATCCCCTACTTTATAATCCCCTACTTTATAACCCCCTACTTCATAATCCCCTGCTTTGAAACCAAGCTCCTCTTTCTTCGGCCTTCGCCTTCCTTTCGTTCCGCTTCTCCGCGCGGCTCGCCTGCGCTTTCGCCCCAAGCTTTCTGGCCAAAACCAAAAAGGAAGATCTGAAAGGGCTCTATAGGGTTAAAGGGTTTAGGGTTTAGGGTTTAGGGTTTAGAGCCAACACAAAATAGGAAGATCTGAAAGGGCTCTATAGGGGCTATAGAGAGCATCTTAGGGGTTTCTGGCCAAAACAAAACGGGGAGGGGGGTCTGAAGGGGCTCGATAAGGGCTATAGAGCATCCTGGGGTTGGCTTTCTGGCCAACACAAAATAGGAAGATCTGAA